GGAGTCTGTTTCCTAGTCTGTCTTCTGAGGGGATGCTGGTGGCTTCCACCAGCAACCCTGCAGATCATAGCCCAGCATGGAACCACTACACCGCCAGGGCTCCTTTCCCTCCGCTTGTGACTTGTCCTGCCCGTGAGAAGTTTGTGCTCCTTCAGCAGTAGCAGCAGCACATCTCCTGGGAGCCACCTGTTTTACTGAAGCAATCAGGTGTGCTCATAAGGTTTCATTTCTTGGTGCCCCCTTGTTCGTCAATATGTGATCTCTTATCACCTGCTGCAGGATAACAAGCTGGAGCGGTACCTTCTCTATTAAGTTTGCCTATGCACCAAACCAACAACCCCAAATCACTCCCATCGTGTCGATTTTGACTCTTAGTAACCCCACAGGACAGAGTAGAACTGCTCCCATGGGTTTCTGAACCCGTAGCTCTTTACAGGAGTAGAAAGCCTCCTTTTCCTCCCTCGGAGTAGCTGATAGTTTTGAACTTCTGACATTGCAGTTAGCAACCCAACATGTAGCCTCTACACTACTAGGGCTCCTTTTGCCCACACACACTTCCCCCCCAAAAGAAGGAGCTCAGAAGACCTGGCTACTGCTACAGAGAGAGGGTGAGGAAAAATGCAAATACAAATGCACACCTGAATAAATTATTCTCTAACCTGGATGTAACAGGCTATCTTTATAGCACGAGAAAGCTCTAGCGTGGGGCTTCAGACTCTATGATGTTAAAGTCAGAATTAAACAAACAGCGATCTTCATAGCACACTCATTTGTAAGTGACTGGGAAGATAGATAAGAGGAATAGCTAATAGAACAGAGAAGAAATGAAGCCATTCTTGCACATGATACTGATTATCTAAAAAACCCAAGAAAAGAATCTGAAATGCAATGAGAGCGAATGCTCATGATCACAAATAAAGTCACCAAGGGGATGGAAAAACACACACACATGGGAACAGAAATGTAAAATAACTAAGAACAAACTAATAGTCAACTTAAAACAGAGACAATGAGTCCCTAGGCATAACGTTGTTAAACCTTAAATGTGAACATAAGCACATATCAGCAAGCATGTATATTTTTTATAAATAAAGTTAAAGTATTAAGATGTCTTTATCAAACTAACTTATAGATTTGATGTTATTCTAGTAAAAATCGCAATCTCATTTTCCAACACTGACTCTACAGTCTGTGTGGAGAAGGAGCAGCTGAGGCAGCGAGGGGTAGTTGGGCACAGAATGACAATAGCAAGGACTTGCTCTGCTCTGCTCTTACGATCAGGCAAGAAACAACAGAACACAAACGAGGAACAGAAACATAGCTCAGTGTACATATGATTAAAAGTAAAGGAAAAGTCATTTAATCATGTTGATAAAATTAACTATTGTGGGAGAGAGAAACTATCTTGAATCCCACCTTAAATCAAAAGAGTTTCCATATAAACTACCTTAAATTATTATTTTTTTAGTAAAAGGAAGGAGAATTAAAAAAAAAATTTTTTTTTTAACCAGAAGAAAGTGTATGTCATTGAAATGAGCTTGGAATGGTCCAGGAGCCGAGGCACAACTGCAGGGGAAGACTCCTTTTTTAAAACATCAGTTGATCAGGGCGCCATATAGCACTGATGAAACACACAATATTCTTCTGGTTCTTGGAGGCTTCCTCACCCCCCAGTATCATGACCCCAGTCCTGGCTTTCAGTTCTGGCTAGACTGGAGCATGTATGCTGGTATAGATAAGAACTCATGACACAAGGAATCCAGGACAAGTAAACCCCTCAGGAACAGCAATGGAAGTGGTGACACCAGGAGGGTAAGGGGAAGGTGGGGAGGAATGGGGAACCGATCACAATGATCGACGCATAACACCGCACTCCAGGGGGATGAAAACAGAAACGTGGGTAAAGGGAGATAGCAGTTGGTATATATGGTATTACATAATCTGGTGTCGATCTGAGACTATTAAGTGTGAAGGGGAGGAGTTTAACCTGTCAATCAGGTCTCCGCTTGATGACTTCATTTGGAGGCCCTACAGAGACAAATAGTTCAGTGGAGGCCAGACCCACACTCACTCCCTGCAAGACATTCCTGTTGACAAGCCACATGGAGCTACACTGATGGAGCCAGAGCCCTGGAGTTGTAGGAGCCACATGGAGACTCACACCAGCTGAGATGCTTCCACCACCCCTGGATCCACAAGACTTCCCCCCACTGATCTGTGCTCTTACTGCGTTTGGCATCATTGCATGTGCTGCATGAATCCGAAGAGGAATGTGCAGACTGGCAATGGACATACGGGCTAATATTGGACTTAGGGATTTGATCTGGACTGGGATACGATGTTTTCTTAATATATAATTACTCTTTATATAAAGCTCTTTCTTATACACATGAGTGTCTCTGGATTTGTTTCTCTAGTCAACCAGGACTAACACAGTGTAAAATGTGAAAAGAATAATAATTTACAATTTATCAAGGGGTCACGAGGGTAGGAAGTGAGGAGGGAGGGAAAAAGGAGGAGCTGATACCAAGGACTCAAATCGAAAGTAAATGTTTAGAAAATAATGACAGCAACATATGTACAAATTTGCTTGATACAGTTGATGTATGCAATGTTGTAAGAGGCCCCAATAAAATGATTAGATATATATCAGTTGAGCGATCATTAATAACAAACACCTCCTTTATGAAAATCACAGAAATCAAAAGTTTAAGGCCAAAATCAAGCTGGGAAAAGTATTGGTGATAAATATTGCTATTTATTTCATAATGTAACGTTCTCCCAAACAGATATGAAATATTATAGTGCAAAAGATATCAAATATTCTAGTCCCAAACAGATATGAAATATTCTAGTGCAAGAAAGGCTGCACACAGTTCATCCAAGGAGAAATACAAATCCTAATGAAAATGTTTAATGTTCAAGTTTTCAAAAGATATGAAAATAAAAATGATGCCTTAGCTGTCAAAATCTGAACGGGGGAAAAAAAACACAGAAAAACCTTACAACGATCAATATGAATGAGGATGTAATGATTTAGTCACAAACACGGCTCAACCAAAATACCAGATTCGTCACCACGGGGTCAATTCTGACTCACAGCCACCCTCTAGCACAGCGCAGCGCTCTCCCATAGGGCTCCCGGGGTTGTAAGTCATCACAGAAGCAGACTGGTCATATTGCTTGCTCCCTGGGAGCAACATGCCCACTGTTTCTTTGCCCACCAGTCCAACCAGGGCTATTACCAAAACCAAACACCCAACCCAATGCCATCCAGTTAGTTCCGTTAGGAGACCTGAATACTGATGCAGATATGTTTGAAAGGAATATGGGGATGTCTGAAAAGCCTTTAAAAGTTCCTTCCTGTATGTCTTCTGACCCAATAATATATCATGTAGGAATCTAACCTAAGTAGGAATACATGATAGCTGGACAAAGATTTATGCATAAAGATATTCATCACGATTTGTAAGGTAGAACTGAGGTCATGATAGTGGGGGAAGGACGCATTAAAGAACTAGAGGAAAGTTGTATGTTTCATTGGTGCTATACTGCACCCTGATGGGCTCATCTCTTCCTTGTGACCCTTCTGTGAGGGGATGTCCAGTTGTCTACAGATGGGCTCAGAGTCTTCACTCCATGCCCCATCCCACCCCCATTCACAATGGGTATGATTTTGTTCTAGGTCTTCGATTACTGATACCTGATCCCATCCTCACCTCATGATCACACAGGCTGGTGTGTGTCTTCCATGTGGGCTTTGTTGCTTCTGAGCTAGATGGCTGCTTGTTTTATCTTTAAGCCTTTAAGACCCCAGACACTATATCTTTTGATAGTCAGGCACCATCAGCTTTCTTCACCATATTTGCTTACACACCCCTTTTGTCTTCAGCGATCATGTAGGGAAGGTGAGCATCACAAAATGCCGATTATTAGAACAAAGTATTCTTGTGTTGAGGGAGTGCTTGAGTTGAGGCCCAATGTCCATCTGCAGCCTTAATTCTTAACATATAGATATAAGTCCATAGATCTATTCCTCTCTCATTATATATAAATATATTTAATACCATGAGGATTAGGGAAAGGTGGGGGGAGAAAGAGGGAATCGATCACAAGAATCAACATATAACCCCCTCCCGGGGAGGGAATGAAAAGTGGGTGAAGGGTGACAGAGGACGATGTAAGATATGAAAATAACGATCTATAATTTATCAAGGGTTCATGAGGAAGGGCTGACGGGAAATGAGGAGTTGATAGCAAGGGCTCAAGTAGAAAGAAAATGCTTTGAAAATGATGATGGTAGCATATGTGCTAATGTGCCTGACACAATGGATGAATCTGTGGATTGTGCTAAGAGATGTATGATATCTTAATAAAAGTATTTAAGAAAAAATGATATTCTTCACAATATGATTAATGATCAAATTAGAAATTATATAAATGTTTAACAGTAAGAAGATGCTTAACCAAATTTAGGCCCATTTCTTTGACAAAATACTATGGCAGTAATTAATCTTTTTAAGTTCAATGAGAGTATGAAATTGCTAAAAATTCTATCTCATTTTTATTAATTATTTAAATTTCTGCTTTATAGCTTTCTGGTTTTTTTCCTAATTTCACAGCTTCCATCTTTCATAGTGTACTTTTTTTGGTCTAACATTTACTCCTCAGCATCTCTTTTCTCTCTCTTCCACTTTTTTTCATATTTTCCTACAACTTCAGCTTTTTTCCCCATCTCTCTGCCACTACTACCTTAAGCGGCCATTAGGTGATACTGAATAATTACAACAAAAAGGTATTCTTTTATTTATTAATAAAAGCATTTGATTTCCATTTTTTAATTCAAAACTTTGTCACTTTAATATTAAGGTTATCTTTTAAAACTAAGTGGTTCTTTGTTCCTCTGAGAGTAACTCAGAACCACACACAAAGGCAGCCTCCTCCCTCGTTCTTGATTTGCCAAACGATGGTCATAATATTCGCTTGTAAATTCCTCACAGATATCAGAAGAAAACAAGAATAGGTATCCTGGTGCTCCCAGACGTGGAGGATGGATCGTGGAGAACTGCCCTGTGACCAAAAAGCTATGGACAAGCTTAGCAGATAAAGGAATTTTACCGGATTTAATCATCTGTTTATCAGATACAGTAAACAATGGTTGGTAAATATTTGTCCTTTACATCTTGAAATGAAATACTGGTATCTGTCGCTGGTAACATGTTTGATGAAAACGAAGAACGGTACAAGCACCCAGCAATTCCAGCCCTTGCAGAATGAGACCTGTTCACTGACAAAGTGGCAAGAGGTACATCTAGGACCACTGGAAGTTCAGAAAGGCTTTTGCAATGTAACTTTTCTTTGAGGCTGAGAATTTAGCACTTCCTCCTGGCCAGCAGCTCTACCTTCTAAAGAGCCATCTCCACCCACTCATTCCTGCTCGCCATGGCTGTGTTCCAAAGACAGGTCCTTATTTGGTTATTAGTGACGTGCAAAAACAGAAGATCACAAAAGAGAGGGTGATTGCTGCATTCTTAGCAACTGCCAAACGCTGTCACATAACTGTCAAACCACTGAGAACCATGGCCCAGCCAAGGTGACACGTGACCTTACCCATCACAGCCAGCAAGACACTCACCCAGCACCTCAGCTTCTCTACTGCTAGATAGACATCTTGAATGCACAAAGCAGCCAGGCCGTGGAGCTGAACTGCTGTCATAGATCTGAAATGTTGCTCAGTGAGGAGTAGGGTATATAAGGCTATTAGGGAAAGACTATGTTTATGGGTACCGTATTTTTTGCACGTAACTGTATTTTTTGCACGTACCGTATTTTTGCACGTACCGTATTTTTTGCACGTGGCTCGGAAATAATATGCACATACATATAATACACATTGGAAGCATACGAAACTAGAACACGGGGCTACAAAGCTGACACACACAAAAGTATAACCTAAAAATAAATATTTAAATAAAAATGAAAAGTTTAACCTGAGAGTTATTCATGTAAAAATACAGTCGTTCTTCCCTTCAAGCAGGAAACATTAAGTACATAAAGATGACAGAACTCAATTTAAATTATTCTATTACTTTGTGACTTAAGGAAATAGCTTTGAATCTCATTTCCAGGAGAGGGAAGGAATGTCATAAACTTCCTCTTTAAATGACTTGGCCATCACTAGGCCAATCTGGTTCTCTAAGCTAAGCTCAAGGTCAGCAGTTTGAAGCCACCAGGCACTCCTTGGGAGAGAGTTTGAGTCTTTCTTCTCCTGTAGAGAGTTACAGTCTCAGAAACCCACAGGGGCAGTTCTACCTGCCCTGTTGGGTCACTATGAGTCACATTGGACTCAATGGCAGTGAGAGGCCAACATCTACTTTTCAAAGTATATATGAATATACTTTTAATAGTTTAAAGACCCAGAGCTCTACTTAGACAAATGTGTAAAGAAAATATGTTTACTATATATCAAAGCGATTTTTCATCATTGACTTCCAAAATGTATTTCACTCTCTTTTATCTAGCTTCAAAAATATCTAAAGCAGCTCTTTATCTGTGTTTCAGGAAAATACTTACTTTCAAGATTATATTTAGAGAATAAACCTGAAGTTGATGCTAAGATTTTAGAAAGATTACGAGAAGAATTGCAAAAGAAGAAGAGAGAGGAAGAAGCAGTCAGGTAAGATCTGCCTGACCTAAAAACATTATCATATCTTTGACAGATGCTAAAATTAGTCCTGATGGTGTCACAGGTTATGTGTTGACCGATTAACCATGAGGTCAGCAGTTTGAAACCACCAGCTGCTCCATGGGAGAAAGATGAGGCTTTCTATTCCTAGAAAGAATTCCAGTCTTGAAAACCCACAGGGGCAGTTCCACTCTGTCCTTTAGGGTCCCCACCAAACAGAACTGACCCAATGGCAGCAAGTTTGGGTTTTGTTGTTGTTATTGTTTGTTTGTTTTGTTTTTTAAGAGATGTTAAACTTCCAGAAATTATGAGGCCAGAAACAACGACGGTGTATGTTAGAGGATGTTTAATGTGTATGTGTACTCATTATTTACCTAAATCATTCCTTTAGGAGTGTAATACAAGCATATATGTTTTCTAATTTGCTTACATTAGTTAATAAAATTATAGTTTGATATATCAACTGAAACATATAATTTAGACACTAATTACAAAATAATTATTACATTTATTTTTATTTTATTTTACTTTGGAGCTAACACATATATCATATCATTCCATAGTCCCATCACATCAAGCAGTACTGTACAATTGCTACCACCATCAGTTTCCAAACATTCTTTTCCTTCCTGGACTCCTTGACATCATCTCCCCTTTACTGCCCCCACCACTACCACCACCACTGCCTCCCCCCGCCCCCAAAACCCTTCTTCTACTTGCTGTCCCTAGGTTCATCCATCCTGGGTTTCATATACCGAAAATCAGGAAAGCATAACACAAATTCGAGAGTGTCATTTTCAATGACAGAACACCTCTGAGATAAAACCCTAATATTGAACAAACAAACACTACAGAAAATCTGACTTTCAGACATGTAAAAGTTGTGTTACAAATGTAACCGTTGATGTTCAGCTCCTTGGAGCTGAAGACCCCTCGGGTGTTCACTGTGTATTTTGAGTAGCTTCCTCCAAACTCCCACCCGCTCTGCAGGAGAAAGACGGGACTTTCCACTCCTGTAGCGTGACAGTCTCAGAAACTCACAGGGGCACTTCTGCCCCGCCCTGTGGGGTCAATATGACCCAGCGGCATGGAGTTTGGTTTTGATTTTCCCTACGTAGGGGTTCATCTCTCAGCACTTCCTGGGCAATATTCTGTTTGAATCCATAGCATTTTCATTGGTTTTCAGACGTAACTCACTGGCCCTCCAAGTCTGCCTTCCTCGGGAAGCTCAGCTGATACCTGTCAGCTCTGGGTGACTCGGCTCGCACTTGAAATACTGGCAGTGTAGCGTTCCAGCACCACAGCCATCTGCAAGTCACCACAGGGTGACAAACTGACAGATGGGCGGTGCAGGTGGTTTGTGAGAGGGTCTTAATCTGGCAGCAGAATTCTTTCTCTTCCTTGTCAGGCCTTCCATTGTTCACAGCAATGTACTCTGTCTGGGTTTGGGATTAGGAAAGTCTCACAAAAAGGAGATAGACTGACTAGTGTTGTGCACGTGATCAAAATGGGGCAGGACGGGTCCAAGAACAATGCTCAGTCTTCGCAGAGGCCCGAGCCAGGAAAAAAAGAGAACTTGAATTACTCCACAACGTGGCCATGGCTCATGGGCTGAGAAGCCAGTCATAGAGCAAGCCTTCTTTACAAGATACAGACCTGTGGAGAGAAGAGGCTTGTAGAGGGTTTTGATGAAAACACAAGTGCAACTGATTTTTCAAAGGGCAAGGAAATGAACACAGAGGAAAGGGGGCCTCTAGGAAGGAGCTGAGGGAAGCTGCAGACCCACTGTGTGCTGGATATGACTAGGCTCTACCTTCCTGAACTAAACTCCTGGCAGTGGATAGTGGGTACCGTGTTCATCATTAAAAATGAGAATGATGAAGTCGACATATGTACTAATGTGCTGGACACAAATGACGTATGTACGGATTGTGATGAGTTGTAAGAGCCCCTAATAAAATGATTATTTAAAATTGAAAAAGGGAAAGAAAAAGATGAAATCAACATTCTTAGATTTTTTTCCCCTTGTTCAGTAGTTTCTAAGGACAAGGCTCCTAGACATAGAATTTCTAAGTCAAAGGCAATAGACACTGTGAAGTCTAATAGTCTGACTTCTGTCCATCAGTTTGCTAACTGTCCTAGAGTTACCATCACCACTACGAAGGCAAGCGTAGCACTGCAACACCCAGGAGAAGATTCTTCCCAGATATTTCAATATCTTTACTCCTGGTCTCTAAATTCCACCCTCACCGAGTTAAAAGAAAATAATGAGGGTTATTTATCATCTACAATGATAAAACGTTCAATGTTCTGTTTATTCAATGGTGGACAATTGAAAAACGAGCCCACTAACCCCAAAGCTAAAGAAAGTGAACGCTCCCATAATGCCCCCACCCAGAGAATTACTATATGCACTTCAATTTGTTTTCTTCCTGCCGTTTTCTCCTCATTTATATCAGTGTTAAATGCAAACTCAAAACCATAGCATGCACATATACATCTTAATGTCCTTCTTTACACATTGAAGCAGGAAGAAAAATGCTCCAGCTCCTCTCATTTGCCTTTTCAATTTGGGATTCAACAATCCTTTAGTACTTTTAGCGAATCCCTAAGGTTTTTCAACCTAAACCATTATCGTTTTTTCCCACTTAAAAAAACAAAGAAACTGAAGGTTAAGTAAATGTTTTAAACTTACTTTGATAGACTGAGATTGGAAAGTAAAAAATATCTCAAGTATTCTAAACCGTTTATTCTGCATTTTTACCACGAAAAGCCCTTTACCCTATATTATCATGAGATGTCTGAATTGGCTAAGATAATGAGATTGAGGGCCTTTTAATTTCAGAAAAGCTGCAGAAGAAGCTTTGAAAATTGAAGAAGAAAACCAAAGGATGCTGGAAGCTATGAAGGCAACAGCAAAAGGCAAGCAGAGGAAGCTCTGACTGATAATGGCATTGTTTAAGTGTGCATGGTTAGCAACGGCAGCATTGTGAGTGGATGGTAGGCAGAATCTCTGTTTGCCTTGACAGTCGGGTTTCAGTCTGTAGTCCGGAAAGAACTAGAGTACGCGCTTCCCTTCTCTTCAGTGTTTCACTATGACCACCCACCCACCCACTCACTCACTGTGTGGAGTAGATGGCAACTCATAGTGCCCCTATAGGACAGGGTAGAACAGCCCTTGTGGGTTTCCAAAACCATCACTCCTTACAGAAGTAGAAAGCCCTGTCTTTCTCCCATGGGGCTCCTGCCCTTGCAATTGACAGCCCAACTCATAACCACTAGGCCCCCAAGTTTCCTCCATTCTTTGCACAAAAAGACTTTATTTTCAGCCAATTTTGTAAGCCTATTAAGGGGAGTTAAGGAGGGGAGTTTTCTGTCCATAATTCACTCCATCTTCTTCCTAAAAGACTCTATGCCTATATTTCTTAGTTTGGTTGTATAAATCGGGACTTAGGCTTTTAAAATATAAATGCCATGCTTTGATTAATATGTAATATTCCCTATTACTTTTAATTAACTGTAAGAAATCAAAATGCAAGCCATGTATCCAACTAGAAATTCTTGACTAGCTACATTTTTTAAAAAGTAAAATTAAATTGTGAAATTACTTATAATAGGATATATTGTATTTATCCCACTGTATCCAAAAATATTATCTCAACGTGTAATCAGTGCTCCATCAGCTCTGATTACAGCTGATGAAGCACTGGAAGCACTTACTCATCTATGCCAGGAAATTTGGAAGACAGCTACTTGGCCAACTGACTGGGAGAGATGCATATTTGTACTCATTCTAAAGAAAGGTGACCCAACAGAATGCTCAAATTATCAAACAATATTACTGATATTACATGCCAGTAAAATTTTGCTGAAGATCATCCCACAATGGTTGCAGCAATACATTGACAAGGGGCTGCCAGAAGTTCAGGCCAGATTCAGAAGAGAACACAGAACAAGGGGTATCATTGTTGATGTCAGATGGGTTTTAGATGAAAGTAGAAAATACCAAAATGATATTTGCCTGTGTTTTCTTGATTATGCCAAGACATTCCACTGGTGGATCATAACAAGCTATGGAAAACCTTGAGTAGAATGGGACCTCCAGAACACTTTATCGTGCTCCTGCGGAACTTGTACATGGATCAAGAGACAGTGTCTGAACAGAACAAGGGAATACTGCATGGTTTACAATCAGGAAGGATGTGCCTTAGGGCTATATCATCTCACTATATTTATTCAATCTGTGTGCTGAGCAAATAAACAGAGACGCCGACCTAGAGGAATCAGGCTTGGAGAAAGGCTTATTAACAACTTGTGGTGTGCAGATGACCCAACCTTGCTTGCTGAAAGTGAGGACATGAAGTACTTGCTAGTGAAGATCAAGGATTTCAGCCTTCAGTATGGATTACAACTCAGTGTAAGGAAAACCAAAGTCTTCACAACTAGGCCAATAGGTAACATCATGATAAATGGAGAAACTGTTGATGCTGTCAAGGATTTTGCCTTGCTTGGATCCATAATCAACGCTCATGAAAGAGCAGTAAAGAGATCAAAAGACAAGTTGCATTAGGTAAATCAGCTGCATCAGACATCATTGGAGTGTTGAAAAGCAAGGATGTGCCTATGAGGACTAAGGTATGTCTGCCCCAAGCCCTGGTATTTTCAATTGCCTCAGATGTATGTGAAAGTCAGACATTAACTAAAGAAGATCAAAGAAGAATTGATGCATTTGAATGGTAGTCCTGGGAGAAAAGATGGAAAGTTCCATGGACTGCTAAAAGGACAAACCTATCTGCCTTGGAAGAAGTACGGCCAGAGCGCTCCTTCAAGACAAGGATGGTAAGACTGAGTCCTACATACTTTGGACCTGTTGTCAGGAGAGACCGTCCCTGGAGAAGGACATCATGTTTGGTGAAGTGGAGGAGCGATGAACGAGGAGAAGGCCCTCAAGAGAGGGATCTACACAGGGGCTGCAACAATGGGGTCAGGCATGGGGACAATCGTGAGGGTATACTGCAGGACCAGGCGCTGTTTCCTTCTATTGTGCATAAGGTGCCTGTGTGTCAGAACCCACTGTATGGCACCTCCCAATAACAACATGTAATCCGTACAAAAATCACTGCTGAGGTATTTTTCGTAATACTTTTCATATTAAATCCTCAAAATTCACTGTGTATTATATCCTTAAAGCTTGATTTGTACTAGCCATACTTCAAATATTCAAACACTCGGGTATCTGGGGTCCCTGAAACATATGGCTAGTGGCTACCATGCTAGACAGTAGCCATACCCTATTGAATTTGGGCTATTTCTGAGTTTTTTTTACTGTTATCGTATTTAGAGTTACCATAAACATTTCCTCTCTGGAATGAACTCTGAGCAGATTACCAGCATCTTTACTGCTACATTTTAATATCATATATAATATATAATTTATATATTATATATATACATATATATATATATATCTTGTAAAACCAAATATTCTAGGCAAGCCAAGATTATTCCTTAGTCTTTTGGGGCCTCAACAATTAACACAGTAGTTGGCACCCAGGAAAACCTATTGACCTAACTGAATAATGACATGTTTCTTCTCTCTCTTTGTCCCCCCTAGAAGAAGCTGACCAAGAGGCTGAAGAAGAGATTGACACTGAGGAGTCTGAAGTTCCTGAGGGGTCCGAGGCCCCTGAGGTGTCCGAAGACGCCAGGCAGTCGTTGCTAACTGAAGAGTCCGAGCTGTCTGAGCTCCCAGAAACAGAATCTGATCCAGGTTAGCCTTTGATGGAGGGTCACGTCCTTGCCTCTCCTCGTGTCCATTAGTGTGTCCATGTGTATGCGTGCATGCGCGTGTCTTGTATTTTGAGGAAGTAGAGGCAGGCCAGCAATGAAGGGATGGGCCCTGAGAGAGTACCCGCTTAATCCCGACCACATGGTGTGAGTGTGATGGGAAAGTTGTGTGTGTGTGTGTGTGTGTGTGTGTGTGTGTGTGTTCTGTTATTTGTGATAACATGTTTATGCCATGTATTGGAACTAAAAAGTTTGACCCTGAGATCGGAAGAGCGGTACCCGCTGAATGCCGACCACATGGTGTGAGTGTGATGGGAAAGTTGTGTGTGTGTGTGTGTGTGTGTGTGTGTGTGTGTGTTCTGTTATTTTTAGAGATGTTAGTATGTGAATGCGTTTTCCTGGAATTCAATCAAGTCTTTTTGCCTTCATGACAAGTTCTTCCACCAGGTTAAAATCGTTTTCTCAGTTATCTCCTCATTTATTGTTTTGGGTTCTTTTCTCAGAATTGCATACTCTTCTTTAGGTGAGATAGCGCTTCTTTCTCAACCAAGTCCCCTCGTCCCTGGCAGTGCTCACCTCGCTGACCTTTTAGTCTGTGTTCTTTATGACTATGATTCGGTGTTCTTTGAAGTGATGTCCCCCGCCTCCCTAATTTACTGTCTCTGCGCCTTATTTCCCCTCTTACCACGTATTTCAAGTCTGCTCATGCACTTTTTACTTCCTTGCATGATTTTGTTTTTTTAATTTCAGCTAGCTTTCTTGAATTTCTGCCTCATCTTTAAGTGGTGTCTCCTTATGTCTGACTGCTCTGTTGTGTAAGCTCTGTTGTCTTCTTGTATGAAGACACCAAGCACATCTCTTGCAAAATGTATTTCTGCTTTATATAAGAAACTCGTTTCAGAAGCAAACGCTTTAATCCTTTGGAACTGCAGCAGTCCCTTTGACTGCTGCTCTCATCGTTGTTGCTGACTGATGCTACAATGGAGCTGTCTTAGTCAGGGTTGGCGGGAGAAACAAATCAAGGGAGACTTATATGTGTATAAAAGAGAACCTTTTTGGGTGAAGGGAGACATCGGAAAGGGTAAGACATGACAAAATAATAATAATTTATAAATTATCAAGGGTTCATGAGGGAGGGGTTGGGAGGGGAGGGAAAAAATGAGGAGCTGACACCCAGGGCTCAAGAGAAAGAAGGTGTTTTGAGAATGATGATGGCAACAAATGGACAAATGTGCTTGACACAATGGATGGATGGATGGATTGTGAAAAGAGTTGTACAAGCCCCCAATAAAATGATTAAAAAAAGAATTGTAAAATTTAAAAAATAAATAGAGAGAAATTTATATCAAAGAGCAATTGTACACTAAGAAAACATCCCAGCCCAGTCCAGATCAAGTCCATCCGTAAGTGTAATATTACCCCATATGTCAATACTAGTCCGTAAATTCCTCTTTAAGCTCAAGCAGCCATGCAATAATGCTGAATGCAGGAAGATCACAGGGCAATGGGTAGAAAGTCTTGTGGATCTAGTGGAAGTATCTCGGCACTGGTGTGGGTCCCCATGTGGTTCCTCCAGCTCCAGGGCTCTGACTCCATCAGTATAGCTCCATGTGGTTTGTCAACAGGAATGTCTTGCAGGGAGTGAGTGTATCTTGCCTCCAGTGAGCTATTTATCCCCATTGTACCTCCAAATGAGGCCACCAAGCTGCAACCTGATTGACAGGTTAAACTTCACCCCTTCACTCTTAATAGTCTCAAGTTAACACCAGATTATGTGACTACCACAGGAGCAGACAATATCCAACTCTTAAATTTATCAAGAGGAAGAATAAGTAGAATATCCTTAAGAAATCTCTACACAGACGCAACAAATTCAGCTTTTCTCCCCTCATCTTTCTCCCTCTCTGCCATCAAGTGGATTCCAACTCATGGTGACCCTATAGGACAGAGTAGAATGCCCCCTTTGGGTTTCTGAGATGTCAAATTTTTGTGGGAACAGAGGGCCACATCTTCCTCCCTCAGAGTGACTGGTGGGTTCAAACCACCTACCTTGAGGTTAGCATCTCAGAAGGTATCCCGCCATGACACCAGGTCTCCTTAAACTCCTTACTAGGCACTCTCAAGACCTGAGGGTCAAGTTAACACACATCAGCCTAGTTAGACTTGGTGCTTACAAGTATTCATCATGTATGGCTTTTCTAGGCTCTGTCTTCTTCATTCCCAACTACTGCATTCTCGGATTAATTCTTTGTACATTCTTGATGCTCATGCCTTTGCCATTATTTCTAATTGAACAGCTTAAGTAACCAAGCATCTTAAACCTAATCATGCCTCTACAAGGCCAACCCTAGGCATCTTCCTGTCTGCTTCCTGCTCTATTGAGTATTAAACCCACCACCCACGGCCATTGAGTTGATTCCAGTTCATAGCAACCCCATGAGTGGAACTGCCCCCTTCAAGTTTCCCAGTTTATAAATCTTTACCAGAGCAGATAAACTCATCTTTCTCCAGAGGAGCGGCTGATTGAGTTTGAACTGTTGACCTTGAAGCTAACAGCCAATGTATAACCCCCTATACCACCAACACTCCTTTATATAGTATAAATTCTGGGTGTAGAAAGATAACCCCACTGTAGCGTTAGCCAACTCAGAAGGCAGTTCCCACCCATAAAGAATGACTGTATGGTGTGTTAGCTCAGGTTGACTACACACTCATATGTGTGTAAGACAGAACTTTATATCAAAGAGCAAGTGTATATTTAAAAAACATCCCATCCCAGCCAGATTAATACCATAAGTCCAATGTTAGCCTATATATCCGATACTAGTCCTTAAATTACTTTTCAGACTTACACGGTACATGCAATGATGCCAAATGCAGGAAGATCACAGGCTCATGGGTGGAAAGTCTTGTGGATCCAGTGGTGGTGGAAGCATCTCTAGGGCTCTGGCTGCCCTCAGCATGGCTCCATGTGACTTGTCAACTGGAAGGCAAAGCAGAGAGAGAGGCTTGCCTCTTCTGATGGCAGAATCAAGAGAGAGAGAGTTCCCAACCCTCATGGGAAGGCCACACCCACTTGAAGGGATCATCAGGTTGTGACTTGATTGACAGGCTAGACTCCACCCCTTCATTCTTTTACCAAGTTGACATGAAATTATGTAACTTCCACACCTGGTGTGTTCATTATCACTCTGGTTCATAGCTTTTTTATATATGTAAGAAAACAGTATATGTATCATTACATATTTTTAATGTCAAACTTGACCTTCAAAGAACTTTATTTTCAGTAAATATATATGAGTTAAAGTCTGTTTTGAAATTTTCTTTGAGCCAAATCTTTTACAAGGGAATCATGTTTTAACAATCGAAACCCTCAACACACTAATAGGTTTTTCTCTTTTCAGCAGCTGAGCCCACTGAGATTCCTTACGTTGAAACTGAAATTCCAAAAGAGTCCAAAGAAGGCCTGGAAACTGAGAAGTTATCTGAAACAGGTGAGACGGGAACACAAAGGCTGTTCGTCCATGGAAGTGCTTTTCGTGTTCTCTTACAAAGCGTCTTGCCCCTTATTTTAGGGATAGTACCAACTTCCAACTTATTTCTTTTTAAATTCTATGCCAGGCGTGTGTGATAGTTCTTTCGCTCACTTCATTCAAAATGTATCGAAGCAGATTATAACGCTCTATTTTATCAAATCTTATTTTAATACACATTGTTAACAGAAAAAAGGGCCATATGAAATTCACATCAATTTCTCCAATAATTTGGATTTGCTAATAGCTACTAATTCATCTAGAGTCAACACAAGGAACAAAGCACAATTGATATATAAATATGTGGAACAGATATTGTGGCTTAGAATATTATGTTTACTTTCTTCAAATGCTACTAAAATACTATAGAGCATAAACATTTTCTACAAGATGTCCAAAAAGATAGTATTGAACACTTCTTCCCCGCCGCCACACCCTTTACCATTTCCTCAGAGGTGATGCTGCCTGAGTACCCCAAAGACTCTTATCCTGATGTTCCTGAAATGGAGCCATTTAAAGAGAGTCTGAAACATTTCGCCGGCATCTGGAAACAGCTGGAAACTACACTTGGTGAATTAATTCCTATCCCGACTTTAAGCATGGAGATTGCTGGTAAAACTCCAGAGGAACTACTTCAGCAAGTGATTGAGATGCTGGAAAGTAAGGACTTTAATCATAATCTTTGTGATCAAGAGCAGGTAATATCACTAAGAGTCGTATGGAATGTTAAAGGCCTTCTTGATTGGTTGCAAAATGAAACATTCAGGGTATCTAGGGATGAGATGTAAGATATTTCATGATTGTGGGAGCAGCCCCCATCCAATCAGAAGAGCCACCAGGTACAACTAGCACTGGCTATACTGGACAGCAGTCACATAAAGAATTTGTAAAGACCTGTTGGTGGTTAAACACTGGGCAGCTAATCTCAAGGTCAGCAGTTCAAAACCACCAGACACTCCATGGGAGAAAGATTAGGCTTTCTATGTCAGTCAACAGTTACAGTCTCAGAAACCCACAGGGACAGTTCTACCCTGTCCTATAGTGAGACCATAAGTTGGAAGCAACTCAATGGGAATGAGTTTGAGTTTGATTTACATACATATGTCACCTAAGAGATTAGTAATTATAATTAGTCGTCTTAGCCCTTGCCTTTGATTACAATAATAAATTAACATTCTTCTATTATAAACATATTTTCCCAAATCTCTCTTTTTGTAATAGAACCCTTTAAATACATTGGTTGGGAGTTAACCGTGGATGATTATGATGAAGAAGCAGAAGACTATCAGGCTGAAATAGAAGCCGATGAAGATTTTGAAGAAGAGGAGGAGGAGGAAGAAGAGGTGAGATTCTTTTATTCTTCATTCTCCTTTGGGAAGTCACCCAAACAATTGCAGACCAGAGTGGTAGCGATCACTTTGGGCGCCCAAGGAAACACACAGATATCTGCAATTTCATCAGGCAAGACCTTCATACACTGACCCTTGGGAAGAACACAACCCTAAGGAGTAGGATCAAGGAAGGGTGTCACTTGAGGTGCAATGGTGACATTTTGAAGGATGACATTTGGGATGATACAGAAAAGCTGAGAAGGATCTGGCCAAAGATCACTGCCCTGCAAAGACCCAGCAAATTCACCGCTATCCTTGGTTATGACTCATTTCGACCCTACAGCACAGAAGAGAATTGCCCCTTTGGGGTTTCCAAGACTTCCTGTCTTTACAGGAGGACACAGCCTTCTCTTTCTCTGAGCCCAGGGTTAGCAGCTCAATGTGGAATTCACCACACCTGACCAGAGCTACTCAAGGCTCAGAGGTGGGCTCAAAATCAGCATGGCCAACAAGGAAATTGAATATGGCTCCACACAACCTCCCCCTCCAGTTGCACTTGACCCCTAAAATCCCAAGGCTATAAAAAGTATATTACATCTGTGAACAGAGAAAGAGGAAATCTTTTTTTTCCCCTTTCTCGCTTTTTATTTATCCATCTGTGGGGCGGGGGGAGGTAGCTATTAGAGAAATCCATATTTATAATTTAACTGTCTTATAGAAAATGCTGTAAGGGAGTCTTCGAGAAGCTACGTGCACAATAGGATGTTGTAATCTCACCAGAAACAACCCTTTTTCAAACCCCATTCTTATCCCCTTAGCATCAGAATTTTGATGATAACCATTCTCATTGTGATATTCATCCAGCTCAGGCTTCAATCAATAACAAAGCAGGAAGTGCTGTTTTCATGTTGATCTTTAGAAAGACAGTAATGGTCAGAACATATAACGATGTATTGTCACTTACCTGTTAGTGCTCACGTGTCCACCACCAGGTGATATGCCTTGTGAATCTAGTATCAGTTTTCAAGACGTTCGTCAAGAGTGGCTCAAAGAAGGGATCTTTTTTCGCACTAAGATTCAGATGCATTTTGTTTCCTGTCCTCCGTTGTCTTTCTGTCGTGTCTGCTGATCTTCTGCACGCTGCTCTGCTTGACTTCCTGCTTCTCAGTCTTGCCTACATATTTAAGACTTGGGTTTTTAGGGATGGTCTTCACTGGTGATTAATGACTTTTTCTCATTGCCTTACTTCCTCCAAGGAAACTGAAACACCATTCTCTAGGCCCCAATCAGTGTCTTAAATGAGAAGATTGGATGGAAGACATATTTCAAAAGTATGAGAGCAATCATGTATAGAAAGAAATGGAAATGGTGAGAGAAAAGATATTTAGAGCATCGATCCAAGAGACCTAGCCAGTGACAGGTGTTATAGAAGAGGAAAAGGAAGAGGTGGAAGCGAAGCAAGACTTCATTTCCCCGGGTCTCAGCCATGACCTACAGATTAAAATTCAAAACAAAAACAAGGGAAAAAAACCTTGCTGACTCATAGTGACCCCTGTGGATTTCCAGGACTGTAATTTTATGAGAGTAGGAAGCCCAGTCTGTCTCCCTCAAACCTGCTGGTGGTTATGAATTGCTGACCATGAGGATGGCAGCCCAGCACATAACCACTACCCCACCGGGGGTCCGTTACAGAGTCAAAGGCACACCACGTCCAGGGAGGCCTGGTGAAAAGGTGCACACCTAGCCCTGTATGTATGGGGTATGACTCCTGAACTTAGAGGAGAAAGAGAAAACAGTACAGATATCCAGACAGAGAATCGCACTTTCAGATTGCTCCGATGGACTGGTGGCACAGAGGTTTAAGCAGTCCACTGTTGGCCTAAAAATTGGCGGTGTGGAGCCGGGGCTGCTCCGTGGGAGAAAGCAGTGGCGGTCTACTCCAGGGACGGTGGCGGTGGTTGCTGTTAGGTCCTGTCACGTTGGCTCCTACCCAAGTGAAGAAAGTGTGCTTCAGAATAAAGCACTGCCCCGATCGGCACCCTGCTTACAACCACTGCCGTCCTTAATCCACTTGTGGCCACTGCGTCGGCCCCTCTTGTTTGGATGTCTTTTCCCTCACCCTTTCTTTTAGGAGCATGATGCCCTCCTCCAGGGCGGGCCCCTCCTCAGAACACGCCCAATGTGTGGGTGATGACACTTGCCAAATGCACTTCACTTTCCAGCTTGGAAACCCAGTGGAGCAATTCGGCTCCTTGAAAGTCCTTGAAATTTTAAATTCATGTACAGAATTTACCTACAGAAACTTTCTAACTGCTAGTGAGTTAAATAAGAAACCAAAAACTGAAATTATAGATGATTTAATAATGAATAATACATAACATTAAAACCCCATAGAAGGGAAAAGAAATGAGGGTTGCCAGATAAAAACCAGGGTGTGCATGCATGGGATGTGCTTATACTGAAAAAGTATTTTTACCTAAACTTCTAATTTAATTGGACATTCTGTATTTTTATTTGTTAAGTCTGGCAACCCAACTCTTTTTTTTAATCATGTTATTGGGAGCTCATACAACTCTTATCATAATCCATACATCCATCCATTGTGTCAAGCATATTTGTACATTTGTTGCCTCATCATTCTCAAAACATTTACTTTCTACTTGAACCCATGGTATCAGCTCCTCATTTTTCCCTCTCCCTCCCAGCTCCTCCCTCCCTCATGAACCCTTGATAATTTATAAATTATTATTGTTTTTTCATATCTTACACTGTCCGATGTCTCCCTTCACCTACTTTTCTGTTGTCCATCCCCCAAGGAGGAGGTTATATGTAGATCCTTCTAATCGGTTTCCCCTTTCTACCCTATCTTCCCTCCACCCTCCCGGTATTGCCATGCTCACCACTGGTCCTGAAGGGATCATCTGTTCTGGATTCCCTGTGTTTCCAGTTCCTATCTGTACCAGTGTACATCCTCTGGTTTAGCCAGATTTGTAAGGTAGAATTGGGATCATGATAGTAGGGGGAGGAAGCATTTAAGAATTAGAGGAAAGTTGTATGTTTCATCATTGCTACCCTGCACCCTGACTGGCTCAACTCCTCCCCGCGACCCTTCTGTAAGGGGGTGTTCATTTACCTACATATGGGTTTTGGGTCCCCAATCTGCACTCCCCCTCATTCACAATTATATGATTTTTCATTCTTTGATGCCTGATACCTGATCCCTTCAAAACCTCATAGTTGCACAGGCTGGTGTGCTTCTTCATGTGGGCTTTGTAGCTTCTCAGCTAGATGACCACTTGTTTATCTTCAAGCCTTGAAGACCCCAGAGCTATATCTCTTGATAGTCGGGTACCATCAGCTTTCTTCACCACATTTGCTTATGTACACATTTGTCTTCAGTGATCATATCGGGAAGGTGGGCACCCACTGATATGATTTTTTGTTCTTTGATGCCTGATACCTG